GTTGAATGTACCAATAAAACTTTTGAAAGAGACAACAACCCACATCCAATTTCTTCTCTTCCATTCTCGTTTTGCCCTATTTTCTATGCCTTGATTCTCCACCTATGCCTCTTGAAATTATGCATATTTAAAAGAGAGATAACTAACATGGATTTTAAATATTTTTCGCAGATTTAGGCTTCGCCTGCACTCGAAAGACCAGGAGCTATTGCATGATTGGCTTTGCTGTACGCAGGGTCCACTATTTATATTATCTCTATGCTTAACTCTGAGTATAGTAAAAATAGTGATGTGGCTACTCTCCTATTTTTACAAACTTTGTAATAAGAATCCATAGGGTAAGCTATTACACTCGTCCATTTACGCATAGTAAATCCCATAGTTTCAGATTAAGGGGAATAAAAATTAATACTTTCAAAGCCTAATGCGCTGAAAAGACGAAATTAAAATAAAATCTACATAGAGAACAAAAAATAGGTAATTAAAATAATAATAAACGGAAATGATATCGATATGAAGACCAAGATGGTGAGGCCTCTGGTATGGCGGTATGATAAAAATAAGCTTTCTACAAATTGGGAGAATAGCCAAACATGAAGAGTTGGAATCAAGTTATATTATATTTTTATAAGTCATCCACAATTTCTCTGTTTCGGTTGTTTATTCTATTCAGCTTTGTACTCCACACATGAATACTTGATGACACTTACCTGTGTGCCGATCATATGCAGGTAGGTGGAGTCAATCTTAATCGATTTGTTGACCAACACTCGCTTCTAATGTATTGTCTTTTTGGACAAATTCAATTCATAAATCATTTAGCCTACTTATCTACCTGTCACTCCCTGCTTCATTAGCCGAACCCTTCTTATCCCCACCACAATGTCTTTAGAGCAGTGTCAAGATAAGCCTCTATACGATCAAAAGGGCCACATTAAATATTAGGCTCATCTGCCAGCCCTACGTTTTCTAAAAGCAAGGAACTTCTGAGCGACTGAAATTCTTATAACAGCACTGAATTGGTTCCTTTGGGAGGATACTTTTGTTGGTTATACGTGCAGAGTCAGAAGAAAATTTTGTATTGCCGACCTACTCCTAGCCAATCTGAAATAAAAACACGATTCATTTACTTTCCAATCTTCATTTCTAACGGATAAGCAACCCTCTTTGGCGACGAACTCTCTTCTGCTGAATTACCATGGGTGAGACAAAGATTCCACTAGCAAAGGTGCATGTGATGATCGGCACTGCACTGATCTTGCTCTCAGTAGTATTCGTTTTGCTTGAGGTCACCTTGGGCCCTAGAGGCACCCAACTTGACTACATCTATCCGGTTTATGCATCCTGCTCCTTCAGCTTCAGCACTGGCCTTGCAGGCCTGTCCCTTGGATTCCGTGGCCGTTCGCGTCTTTTGGCCATTGCTGTTGGCTTTTTTGACCTAATCAACGGCATCTTAACCAGCTTGGCTATCTTGCTCAATCTGGAGCCTAGCAACTTGACACTGTTTGCGGTTTTCTTGTCTGTCGGATGGCTTATCATCATGCTCAGCTACATTCAGACATTACTGATTTTTGCATTTCTTTGCCCTGCTTGTTGGAGAACCAATTGGACTCTTTACAAAGCTGAAGAAGCCTTGAGTGGGGATTCGGAGGGCCAAGAATCAGTGGTGCTCGACAGCGAATGGATGGAGCGTCAGGCAAGGAAGGAGGATCGTCCAGATGAAGATCCTGAAAAAGAGACTGACAATGAAGCGAATACTGAAACTGAAATAAAGACGGTTGGTAAAGAGAGGCAGGAAGATGAGGAAAATGAACCAAACCGCGATTATCCTCCGACTTTATTTACTGAATATGCTCTTTCAGTTGATAAGCCTGAAGAAGATGGCTGGCCACCTTATCCATTTAAACAGAAGGGCTTCGGTGACCAAGAAAATATCATAGAACATTCAGTCTAATAAATCAGAGGGTGGAGCGCACCAAGCAAAGATGAGAAGTTGTTTATATGTGACGAGATGGATATTTGACTCAAATGTTTTCAAGTGTTTTCAGTTAATTCAAATATAGTTACCTTCTAGCAAAAACCTCTCTAAGCACCCCTTCCTTTCGAGCCGATTCCTGGTCTTGATATCTTTTCGCATTTTCATGTGAGTTTATCCATTTATTAAAAGTAGCCCCTTTGGTTGACGCTGTATAAACCCATTGTCTTGAACACAAGGTAAAGGCTGACGACTTCTAGTCATGTGAAATGCATCCTGGGCGCTTCATCGTAGTGATGTTTATTGTTACGCGAATGATTTATATTAGTGAGTCTAAATTTTGGATTTTTTAAAACAACAATCTGACTTACATAGATTCGATCAGATTGAGTTTGAATGTAGAGATAAAAGATATTTCAGCAGGATTAATTAGCAAAAATATAATAAATTTACGGGAAAGTTTTCTAGGGAAGTATACATTTGATAGCTAAATGATGAAATATGTTTTCTAGACTCCCCAGGATTCGGTGCACTTAACCTTCTTTTTAGAGATGGTTTAAAATCCTCTCCATGCCTACTTTTATCAAGCAAGCATAAGTAGCTATTATCTATTGCTCTATCTTCATTCTTCACATTACCTATTCCTTATCTGTTAATTTCGATTTCTGTTAATCATTTTTGTATCATACTCAGCAAGCCAATGCGATTAAGCTCCTTCTTTCTTAAGTCCGATTTCTGATATTTGCTCAGCCACTTCTGCCTGCTTGAAACAACAATCCCTGTAACCATTTTTCTGTTATGATAACCGTCGAGTAATGTGTGAAGGATTCTGCCAACCTAAGGACGACCACACAAGCACATATTATTTTAGTATGCGTGCGTCTAAACACAAACTAAGAGGCGGTGCCTATCAGGATGTGTATTGGCACATACACACATTCGACTATACAAGAACTAGGATTGACTTGAAAACTGATTAGCAGAATCGTTTTATCAATTTCTCCTTTACTGTGGTTGTTGTGAGTAGATATGACACACAAAGAAGAGCCGATTAGCATTCTTGACATATTGTTAAATTAAAAATTTTGTAAGTATAAGATAAGCTATGACAATGTCTGTCAGGTGGGATGCCAAATGAAGGCCCAGCCTGTTTTCTTCAATACAGAAGGATAATGTTCCATTGACTTAACAATAATATAGTACAACTACAAAACAACACATATCCGTTATTTGCCAGATTGATCCACGAATATCTTCATCACATAAGTGCCATATTATTTTAAAGCCCGGTTACTTTTCGATTAAATAGTTATACTCCTAAAATCTCCCAAAATAAATTACGAAAATTATATAAAAGCTCGTCTCTTCTGATGTAAATCAACTTTTAACCTATTAATAATTTAAAAACCAAATCTTCTTGCATTTGCTACTGCTTATTTCTTATTCTTCTCGATTATGCATAGGAAGCTCGACTG